CAACAAAATTTTTAAAAAGCATTAAAAGCTCTCTAAACAGTTTTTCATTTTATTTTCCAAAACATTTTTTACGTGCTTTTTTGCCACAAAATCTGATTTGTCACCACAAAATATACTGGCTTCTCAAGCTCAGTCAAGAAATATTTTCACTGTGCTTGAGAAGATCATACAACTGATATCAAAATTTACTCACAATGTTCGAATTAAAACTTCAAAGGAAGCTGAAAGCATTTTTAAACTTCTTGTATGGAGAACTTAACCAGAAAAGAGGCTTCGTGATTTAAAGAAAAAAGTTTCAGTTTATGCAAAGATGGAATTAAAACTTAAAGGGTTGTATTAAAAATGCATACCTTATAGATAAAGATTATATTTGGATTATTTTTTATTTAATGGAAGATTGGAGACAAGCTGATGAGTATACATATATATATATGTGATGTTGAGTATGTCCACTTAGCTGAGTATAGTTCTGCTCAGTTCTTGGGTTTCCTTCTGGTTTTCCTCATTACTTTTTCCTGGCTCCATACAAAACAGCCATCCCTATAAGATTAGTGATTGTTCTAAAGGAAATGGTTTTTCTTTCCTTAATGCATGTAAGTAGAGAAATCAGGATTCCACAGAGCGTTTTCTTGCCAAACCATCTGGAATAAAATCTATTTCTTTGTTCCTTAATTACACAAATACATGTTTGCTGATTTGTAGCCAAAACGGATTGTCAGCTGGCAAGTTTCCTTAGGCTTGTGGTGTGATATTTTTAGCTTTCTATGTTTCCCAGCATTGAGGCTCTTCTTTAATGGCTTCAGATCCCTCAGAAGTTTTATGCCGAAGCCATGTGGCAAAATGCTCTATGTTGTAATGAATAGTTCTGAAAAGAAAAGGAATATTGTCTTTCTGTCTGGAACTAGTTTGCCTTTATCTAGATGATTATGAAAGAGATATTTCTGATAAAGAAATGTTCACAACTAATGAACTTTTCTTCAGTTCTTGTGTGAATGCTGTCCTACAGCTGCACTGCTATACTTAATTGTCAGATGTAAACAAAATTAGTTTAAAATAGATGACAGAAAAAAATTATGCAATTTCTTAAATAATATGCGAGGAAATAATTGTGTTCTCACTTGTGTCTTTAATTTTTAGTTATTTGTGAATACATTCAAAGATTACATGTTGAAGTTTAATAAGTATATATAACTTAGGTTGATGTGGTAGCATTACTGAGACTTTAAAATGACAGCATGAAAAGCTTTCTCTCTGAAAGCACATAGGATTTCAGACAAGAGTCCTGCTGCTGTTCACAGTTAAGATGTTCAGCTATTTTGCTTTGGCAACTTGTTTCAATTTCATTCTGTTCACTGGAATTTCAGCAAACATAGTATTTTTGTGTAATTTACTTTATCATCTAAACAGGTTATTGGTTTTTTTTTTTTCATAGGGTATACAGAAAATTAAGCTACACTGATGGGAAAGACCAAAATCCCAGCAATACCTTTGACTTCCCCGGCAAAACTCATCAAGGAGCATTCATAGACTGCTAAATATAAAACGTAGTTTTTATAAAGTTTGCGTTTTATCTGGCTTTCTTTCTTCTTCCAAGAATCAAGTATGTTTGTAATACACATCTAGTTCTGATATATACTTCCTTGCAATATAATTCTTCAGGAACGGGTTTATGCCTTTTGACAGGGCATTTCTTACTCAATTTATGGCTAAGTTGGAATTGTGTATTTAAGTGCTTATAATAACAGAATGTTATCTATATTATCTTTTATCTGCTAATAAGCTTTTATTCTTAATGTGTTAAGATAAGGAACAAGCTCATTCACCTAAATTCCTGCTTATTCATGCTTTCTCTATGTCTCAGTACACCCCCAAATTTGGTATTATGTGCTATGATTTTTGTCTGTTATGCCATATTAATGTTAAAATTTTATAAGTAGCTCACCAAAGCTGATTGTTCAATGAAATTTTATAAATTTTACTGGATTTGGTAAAGTTATGTTCTGTATTCTGACACAATTTATATTCTAAATAAAAAATTATTTTGAACAAATACCTGCTTTCAACATTTTTATTTCAGGTATGGGAATTCTCAGGAGGAGTTTGTATACCTACAGCAAATACCTGAGAATGACGTCAGGGTCCCACAGGTTTTCATTGCTGTGGCCTTCCTCGGCAAGGGGATTGTATTAGTGGTGTCAGGTCAAGTACTCTCTTTTGTCAGCATTGCCCCTTGTCAGCTTTCTGAGATCCAGAAAAGGAAAAAATTGTTTTTCTTTGGCTTCATTTCTGGGCACACAGTAGTGTTTTGTGTTATCTTAGCTCTTAAAATCAAAATCCTATTATCTTAAGTACTGTTCTTGAATGGCACAAGAAGCCAGCTTTAGTGAGGTTTTCTCTGCAGTAAGAACTTCTGCAATGTGCATAAACATTCTATATTCCCTCATAATTTGGGTATTATGTTTCCTTCAACAACATCAACAAAAGATTTTCTTTTAGAAATGCTTTTGTGGCTCATTTTTCTTCCTATTCAGACATGGATGCACTGTAGGAAATATGCTTTATTCCCTACCTTCTCCTTGAATTAGTTGAGGTAATTCTTTCCCAGTATTTCTTTGTACACCAGTACTGAGAGACTGGAATTGGGTTTTGGACCTGTTCTGACTAAATATGAATTCTACCCAGCAACTTTATTGAAGGCTCATCCAGGTAGGAAGGTAAGCTTGTTTATACAACATATACAGGGTATAAACCTACACATAGCACTTCCTTTTCTTATTTTGTTGTAATTAGTTGAAACTTGCTTTATACATAAAGAATTTAACTAGTATATGATACTTTATGTCAATCTTTCTCTGACGGATTGAAGATGGAGCAATATTGAACGTGCTTTTTCATGTAAGAATTCAATAGTCATTTGAAAAAGTATCCCAGAAGTCATTAAAAAAAATTAGGTCACTCAGCTGCTTACTTAAGCAGATGGAGGTTAAAGAGCTGGAGAAATAAAGCTAAATCTGAATGTGGCAATATTAAAAGTGCCTTGGAAACAGTTGATAAGTCACTAAAGATTATCCTGAAGTAGAGTGTCTGCAAGCAAGCAACAGTCAGTCATTTAATGGAAGCATGAAATGTGAAGAGGAAGGATATATTGAAGGAGAATATTTACAAGAATGCCCTGCTCTATTAACAAGGTGCATTGCAAGGGAAAGCAGCTGATGAAAATTAGCGTAAATGCATAGCTGGACTAAACAATGACGACTGAGATAGAGGAAACTAGATTTACCTAAATCCCATGAGGTGGACTTACTGCTACATTTACACTCAATGAGAGAAGTGTGCACTTCATTTCTGTTAAACTGATGATCCAATTGAAATGGCAGGTTGAGTTTAGTTAACTTGTGTAAGTTCTTTAACTTGTGAATTTAAGCCATAATCAAGAGTTGCATCTCACTGATGCACTAAAACACTTTATGTGAATATTTTGCATATTATTGTTATTCAAACTATTTTGATGTGAGTCTAAGCAAGCATATGTTGAAATGTATATTATTACTTATTTACTTCCTACGATGGAACAAAATATAACTCCTTCCAATCTAATCAAATTAAGTAAGTGCTTCATGCACTGATGTTTAGCTTTAGATATTTGGCTTTGGATTTCTCTTCCTCCTTTCCCCCATAGGACCTTAGGGCCATCGTTTAATCTGCTTCTCCATTAAAGTGGTTTTTGTAGATTCTTCAACAGTACTTGTTTCTGTCTATCCAGTGGTAGCTGGGCTAAGACTGTGATAACACAGTTACTTGCATTCAAAATCTACCTTTTTTCTGGGATGTTACAGCGAAATATACTGAGTTGATTTCTGCACACAACAGCACAAGATAGGCAGTGACACTGGGGCAGCTTTGGCTGCAGGACTTGGCCCCTTCCTTTTGGTTTTGCATAGAAGTTACAGCTTGTTATGTAAGACCCTTAACTATGAACAAAACTGAATGTTAACCAGGCTGTCAAAGAACTATTTCTTTTATATTGATTTCCTTTTATACTGATTTTCTTCTTCATAAATTTGTCTCATTGCTGTATGTGTCCATCCACTTCTGCTTTTAGAAGAGGTGTTGGGCTTCTATGGGCCTTTTGTTCGTTTGTTTTCAGTACCTGAAACACTTGCAGAGTTCTGTATGTGCTGGAGAGTTGGAAGCTCCTTGACACGTGCTCTGTGTGGATGTTAAAGGCACTAGTATCCTTTATTTTTGAGAAGACAGAACTGTCTGACACCTAGAGGTAGGCATATTACATCAACGTGCCTTGCTGTTTTCTGCTACAACTACTTAATGACTCCTAGAATATAAAATTTAATATAAACCATATAAACCATTTAATGAGTTTAAAGTCTTAAGATGAATGTGCACACAGTAAGTGAATTGTTTGGGGAAATGAAAAGCTCTTTCTGCTTTTGTAAAATAGTTAGTAAGAATGGCAATGTAAAACCCAATAGGAATGTAAACATAACATAGAGTATTAGAAGGAAGAAATCCTCACTAGGTGATTTATTTTTACAAATAACTTGATAATATCTTTGTGGACTCTTGAATATAGTTGGATACAATATTGCAGTTAGTAGAGGAGTTGAGATTTGAGACTAATAGTGGTATTTCTAAAGGAAACTGAAGATATATAAAGATACTGTTAAATCTTGTGAAATGTACAATTACTACTTTAAACAAGCTGTTAAATTATTCTCCAATTATCTTTAGATAGATTGTGTTATTACCATAAACCAGTCACAGCGGGAAAGTACACAGTATGGAACAGCAGATCAGTTTTTAACTGGTAAAACAACTAAACCACCAAGTGTGCAAGTATGAAAAAAATTTCCTTTCAAAAGTATTGATAAAACCTATATAGAAGAGTTGTACTCTGCTAAAGCTCTACAGACAATAAGTGGGTCTTTTGGGACTGTTTGAAAGCTGATGTTTGTTTAGAACACAGGATTATTTTTTGCTGAAATATCAGATTCCACAACTCTTTCAAATTGTCCTCAGAAGGGCAGATCCTTCAAAGCGGCAGTCTGGACCTATTCTTATTTCTTGCTTAGTCCTTAAATATGCTTGGAAGACACTTTGGAACACTTACCCATTTTAAATCATTGTTTGGTATGACAGTTTGACAGTTTGACGATCTCTAGTCATTCACTGTTCCTCCAGAATGAAAAAGCACATCTCACTTAGTGATTACATTTTTGGTTCAGGAAGCCACTTCAGTTCAGGAAGCCACTCCTTTTGCTGTATGAATCAAGCTCATTAACCTGATGGGATCATCATGAATGGCTTCTACGTTTGCTGTGTTTTCAGCAGCCAACTGCTCACTATTGAGGTAAATGCTCACTTTGGAAGCCATCATGGTGGGGTTAGATGATCTTTCTTCTTCATCTTCCTCTAATGAAGGATCTTTCTTTCTCCTTGGTTTTCTGCGTTTTCCCTTGACACTGTGATCAAGCGAGGCATAACACATTTGACTGGCAGATTCCACCTGAAAGGAAATTCACTTTAACATTCAGTAGTTATCCTTGCTTTAAAATTATACGTAAGACTATGAGTATGTCTACACTGTAATCATAATAGTGGCTGAAATATGCCCAAACTAGCTGTAAAACAAGCCATTAAAAGTACAAACGATTAAGATGTGGGAGCCTAGAAAACACATCAACATAACCTAATGGTAAATGGCCCATAGTGACAATAAGGAAAAGTTCTTCAAGGTATCATAGGAAAGATTCTCATTAGGAAGAAGGGTAGGTTATGAATCAGTCCAAGTTCTTTGGGATGCAAGATATGATTAGATCTGTTTTTCTTCTCGCTTTTGTTTAGTTAGAATCCAGTTGTTAGCAATATTATTCACAGGTTTTGCCTCTGCAGAATACCAAAGTTGGATGATTCTCATCCATACAGATGATCTCATTTCCAGTGCAAAATGTATGTCTTTTGTATCTTTTCCCTGCTTCTCTGGTTTTCAAACCAGACTGTCTATAACTATTGACATTGAAATTTTCATAGATTATTCTGTTTTCATGAAGTTAATGAAAACAAATGTCTAGATTAGAAAAGATATTTTTACCTGCTGGAAATATCCTGAGAGAGAGGCTGGAAATTGATCCTAGCGAAATGCATGGAACTCAGGAAATTGATACTGGGAATGCTTCAACTACAGGCAAATTTCAGTTGAAGCTTCCATGCTCTTAGGTATCTCAACAAAATACAAATCAATAGAAAACCGTTATTTTCTATTTTCACTTGCTGAGGCATATAGATTTTGTGCTGGACAGGAGAAAGCCACTCAGATTCATGAGTATCATGTGATACAGCTTGTGTTTTCAGTTTGATATCACAAATAAATAAAATTAATTCTTTTCATACGCCATGGCAGTAGATGCAAATTTAATTCAACCTGATCTGCATGTCTGTGACAGAAATTTATCATGCCATATGCGTGGACTGGAGCTGTCCATAATTTTCCTGCGTCTGCATTAATGATTCAGATTGAAGGATCAAGTCTGTGCCAAAATACCTTGGTGAACTGAGACAATAATGCATGGTAATCTTTGTGATAGTGTCAAGATTTTTGTCATGGGATAAACACAGGAACTCTGAGACAGACCACAGCACCCTAATTCAGAAATCCAAAATTAAAATTAAAAATACCTGTGGCTGGTTAACTGGCCTCTGAGGTTGGGACTTCATCTGCTCATAACAACATTCTTCTGTAACTTATCAAAGTAGAAAAATGTTTTAGTTATTAAGTTATATTACTGAGTCTTAAAAGATCAGATCAGCAGATCCTCTCCATTACAGAACTCACTTCCCCCAGTTTTCTTTGGTAGAAGTTTGTTTTGTTTTGAAGTCACACACAGATCTCTCCCTCTAGGTATAGACAGGCAAATAGCTAAGAAATTCAGACACATACTGTGGAAATGAAAATCATTTTCTGTTCATGGGTGGGAGGTTTCTCATAATTCACTAAGTGGGCATCATTTTAGAGTGCTAGGAAGACTTCTTGCAATTTAAGGGTCAACCACATATTGGTGTATTTTTCAGCATAGGCAGCCTTTCTTTGGCTGAGAAAGGGGCTGTGACTTGCAACAGCTGGTGATTAAATTCTATTCCTGAATTTACTTCCAGTTTTCTGTAAATTTCATGCAAGTTATTTTCTTATTTCATATCTCATTTTAGCCATCAGTAAAGCAGATTACTTCCTTACATTTTTCAGACTTTTGCAATGTCAATCCGTTTGAGCGTTGACTTAGATAAATGTATGCAAACCATGTATGAAAACGTTGGGTTTGTTTTTTTAATTTTTTCCCTGCAGCTCAGTACTTTAGTTTTGCTTAACCCCAAATAAGGCTTGCAAAAAAGTTATGTTCATATTACTTAAATACTGCTTTAACACCATAAGCGCTTCAAGAGACATAGTCTCAGCATATCTAGCTCTAGCTGCAGTTATGTGATATTACTGCCTTTGTTATGGTATCTCTCTGCCAAGGATTATCAACTTCAACACAGTAAAGCAAAGCAAAGCTGTCTGCCCAACACTCAGCCACTGGGCTTCAGCATATTTGTCAATGTTGCTGATGGTCTTTGGATAGCTACAGCAGAGAACTGGTATGTGTTTGTTTCTGCCTGTTTCTGTGGGAACATTGGCTTTGGACCATGAGTGCTGTGTGGTCTAGATTGCTTTAACATGCATGGATCAAGCTGGTTTTTCAATTGGTGCAGCTTTACATATATACAAGCTCTTTGTTTTGAGATACTTCGCTTAACTGGACCATTTGAACCATAAAAAATAAAATTCAGTATGAGATCTGTTCTTACAAATAGTAATGTAGTATGATGGTTTGCATTTCTATCCCAAGTAGGTGGTAATATTTTTAATTATATTAATGGTTGAAAAGATGTAGATTCTCAAGCTTGGCATTTGAGAAATGCAAAATATGTTGGTCAGTCAGTTTTTAATCTTATATTTATTATAGCCACTGAATAGACACATGTTCATCTTACCTAAAATATCTTGATTGAGATTGCCATAAACTGGGTAATCTTCTGTGGGATCGTCATCATAGCTACAGAGGGAATGGAAAAATACTTTTAATTCACAGAATATGCTTTATTTAGGACCCCGCTATTCTACTCTAATAAACATTTAATGCACATGTACCAATATCTAGATCATGTATGTGTGTGTATATATATATCTATATCTCTATATAGAGAGAGATATACACATATATCTCCATAGCAGATTGTATATGATCTAATAAACAAGACCAAAAATACTGGAGGGGGCAGAAATGGCAATGTGCATATTCTGAAGAGAGATTTGTTATCTAGCCAATAATTGAACTCTTTTTTCCTGTAGCTTAGGTGAGTAAAAAGTTTATCTCAAGACTAGTAAGCTACTGTTTCATGTAGGTCTAGAAATATTAATGATCACTGAAAGGAACCCAATTCATGTCCTCTGAGACCACTCTGCAATACAAACTAAAGCACTGCATGTGTCTTTTGGGTTGATGTTCTTAAGAAAGGTCCACACTCTTATGTCAACACAAACAGAGGAGACCAAAGCACAGTTCAGCTTGTGTTCCTTGAAAATGTTTCTAAGTTTGTAAAATGGGAATTCTTAGTGGGAAGCACTTTTTTCTATTGCATCCCTATACTGTGTCTCATCAAGGGAATGAAGCCATGCTATCTAACACCACTTCTTCAGTGGTATTTTTCAGCTAAACAGGCAGCAATAGACAGAGACTTCCCAACTTCTGTTTCATTGCTTTAGGGCATCATTTGTAAAAGATGGTTATGAAATGTAAATACGTAACTAATTTGTTGCTCCAGAAGTATTAACTATCAGACTATAATTTATCATTGTTTTCTGAGAGTTCTTTTAAATTATTATGGGATTTTGAGGTTAAGTGATAGTAAATGGTGGTTTAGTTCAGTATCTCGCACTCCCTTCAATAGACAAAATTATAGTATTAGCATGCAATTATTTCATTGTTGATAAAATGACTGCAGGATGTACCTCCCACATAAATTTTTTTTCCGATTTTCTTTGGAAAACTTTTTTCCACAGCTATTCTCTCCAAAATTTCCAGGCAGATTCCAAGAGATACTGAATTTTCCTCTATGTCATCCCTCCAAAGCCATCTGTCCTTATTTATTGCTTATTTCACCCTTGAGAGAAAGAAAATTTTTTTATCCAACTTACCTCTGATTGTTCTCTTTGTAGTCTTTATGCATTTTAGCTGGAAAATTTGTTTAAAAAAAAAAGAAGTTAAGAGAATATGAAATGTGCTATTTTAGAACACTTCAGATAATTGCCTCAGCGGACATGCTTTTGATTTCAGTTTAGAAAACACATTTGAAAGTTCTGGCTCTTCAGTCGTCCCTGTACTTTTCTCAAATACTTTTGTCTAATACAAGAAATGTTTGTGTTAACACCCTGTACTATGGCTGCAAAGTCTACATTAGGTTACAATATCCTAAAAATGTATTGTAACACGTGTTTTCTTCCTCCACCTTCTATGTCTACCTCATCTCTTTCTCTGTCTAGGCAGGTGTGTCGTGTGCTTATATTACAATTGAAGGTGTATTTATTTTACTAGTTCTTGTATCTCTGAAAGGTATCTTGTGATTCACACAGATGAAGAAAATGAAACAGAGAGGCAATGGCTACAAAGGTTTGTTGCTAGAGCTTGATTCATAACTCAGAAACGCCTGACTTTCTATCCTCTGCTTACCACAGTAAGCTCCGATTCCATGAGCAGTGCAGCATCAGCTAATCCAACCTAAACCTTGGTCAAGGTTAGTTTTGTAAATGACTGTGATTTTTAACTCATGGAAATATCTGCATAGTGGCCCTAAAATACAAAATAAACCTAAAGAGCCTAACCCACACCCCTCCCCCCACCCATCCAAAAATGCTCCAGCAGCTCTTTTAATATCCTGATTCTCTTACACTTGGTGAATTCAGTTTATAAGCAAAGGCCTGCTGTTTATGTAGATTATATATGTATGTGCATTTAGTGCAGTTGAAGCCACCAATGTTTGCCTGCCCACCCATACCTGTATAGCACAGGTGCAGTTTTCCCTGTGTTAAGGGAATGGTGAGGATTATACAACTTCCTAACATTTCCTAGATTTGTATGCATAAGAGAGGTTCCACTGGCATAATCAATTCTACCAAAAAAGTCATAGATAATTTCAACCAAAACTGGAGTATGACTGTAGTCACCTTCCAACATAAACAAATTAGTTTCTTATTGTGAGTGGCACATTGGTTTAAGAGTTCCATTAGAATCCCATTATGAAAAGCAATTAGAATATTTTTCCAAAATACATAGATTAAGCATAAAATGTATAGGAAATCGGAAATTCTAATGAGCATTCAAGAATTTGGGGAGGAGCTACTTAAAATAATTTTCAAATTGAGGGATAAATAATAATTATATGAAAAGTACACTTTAAAAAAATAAAATTACAGGTATTAAAAATATAATTTAAAAATAAAAAATTAGTTAGAACTAAATTCTTTCCCTTGTACATGTTCTGTTGGCTTGTCTTCAAAGAATGGGCTTGAGTGGCTGTTTCTAGCAGCAGATTGGGCAGTTAGCAATCATTCTGTAATTGTACCTGACTCTCCTAATATTTTTTAAAAGTTACATGCTCTCTACTAGAATGATTCTTGCCAAAGGAAAACTTTTCAAACTAATCAATTTGTTGGCTTGAAATCTCTGAGCAGTGATGGCTTTCTCTACAGACAATTTAAATATTGAAACTCCATTCCTTATAAAGAGACAATGTTTCTTACCTCTCTTCTTTTTCAAATAGTGTAAAATGTTCAGTGTCAATGAAACAATGAGAGCCAAACTCAGGAAGGCCAAAACTCCCCAGACAGAAAAATGGCAGCCCATTTCTGTAACTGAAGGAAAATAATTTTATCATTTGTGTTGTCTTATAGTTTCACCATATTCTTTGCTCTTGGTTGATTTTTACTTTCTGTAATTGAAGCTGCTATTTGGTGTTTACTCTGTGACAGCCATTGCCATACAAGTTAAATAGTTAATATCAAAACCAGATGCTAAAATAACAAGAAAGCAAGATCAATAAGCTGTTAGCAGAACTACTGTTTCATAGGAATTCTTTCGAAGGTTTGCCTGCAAGATACAATAAAAATCATAAATTAATAAAGAAAAAAGTTGTTTTACTGAATAGCTTTGAAATTAATTCTGTAATTGTCTTTAACTTTTTGCAGTAAATTTTTGGCTAAATTCTAGAGTTCATTAGTGTAGTTCTGTATTCAGTCAAAACAAATTCACTGGAAATATCTCTGAATAATACTAAGACCATAAGGTTTTAACAATCCCTGCAGAAAAATATCAAAAGTTTGTTGTTCTCTTGCATTGTTTTCTTGATGTTAAAACCCCTGGTGGCCTAGTGGTTAGCGTGCAGGACTTTCACTGCTGCGACCACGGGTTCAAATCCCAGTCTCCTGGCCTGATGGAGGTCGTTAGCCCTGTGTGGCCATCCATCTATGAGAAGGACACTCTAAACAAACCTACGTCCTGAGGACCTCACTGCCATTGTCCAAGCTTGCTTGGCCCCGGCAGATGAACCTTAGGATTAAAGGGTGGGCTCAGTTCAGCGCAGGCTGTGTCTCACCTAAAAAATCCATTGCGCAGGCTGGAAAGGTAAAAAGACCTTTCCCCAAATCTTCGTTCACGAAGATGGGCCATTATTTAAAACCCCTTACTTGTACTCATTTTCTTGCTTGAGAAAGCAGAGGAAGTGGTGATAAAGGATAAGCAGCAGCTGGGAATCAGTGAACGCCCCAGAAGTTCTGCAGAGAAAAGCCCAAACAGCTCTTGGAAAATCACCTTGTAAGAGGTGGGCCAATTTAATTGAACAAAGTTTCCTTTAGCACTGAACTTGCCTCTCCTCGGAGTGCTGTTGTAAGCACAGGGAAGAATTCCCATGCATCGAATCTATTTCGTCATTTAATTAATTCTTCGATCAATCTAGCTCATACGAATTTTCCATCACAAACCATGCTGAAGAAAATAGCTTATTTGTGATGGTCTAATGGCCAGAATTTTCAGCATTGCTGCAAATGGCCAGTGAAACCCTCCTTGACAGAGGAAACACTGAGCCAAATACACGAGTGAAAAGAGCTTGCAATTAGAGTCTTTGCTTTCCCCCTGAGGCATGTCTCATATTCTACTAGATTTGGAGTGTTTGAAATAAAGCCTGGTGCCCAAAAAGTAATGACCTCCTCTACTGAATAAAAAAGTCTAGCTGGAGCAGAGCAGTCAAAGGGAGGGATTGGATGACACTGATCCTTAACGCACTCAGTTGTTTTGGACATACGTGGATTCCTTCAGGAGGCTGACATTTTGTTTGCTTCTTAAAGGAAATCTGAGGCAAAGGAGCACAGGAATACACATTTCCATGTTGCTGGCCAGGGATGGGTGCAATGCATTTGCTCCTGCTGAGGACACAGAGCTTTGTTCCTTGGCTGACCGGCTCCAGCTCATCTTAAGAACTGCTCCTTACAGGTTTTGTTCCCTCGTTATGCTGTTGCAAAAGCTATTTTAGATTTGTTTTACTTCAAGCCCCAGATGTTTTTATGACGATGAAACAAGATAAGATAAACCTTGATAGTAAAAAGTCACAAATCACATGGGCTACTAGGATGCAGGTCTCAGATTTCTCTTTTAAAAGGAACAGAACAGAGCAACTAAGCTGTGACTTTCTGGCAGATTTGTAACTGATTTTTCCACCTGGTACTTCCAGTGGCCATTTATCCTTCCTTTTAAACTAAACATCCAGTTTCCATTCCTTTCTTTTCTCCCACTCAAGTTCTCCCAAAGGCACTTGAGGGCTCTCTGTCACTGCAATACTACTTTTCACGTTGAGAGGCACTTTTTTGCGATGAGGTACAGATATTCATGAGGAGAGACACCACCTCCATGAAGCAGCTATATATTTTTCCAGTTTTTCAGAGAAGGAATTAAAAGAAAGGGAGGTCCTACATAGAGAAGATGTTATCAAGATAAGTCAAGAATCAGCATTGTTTGGAACCTGGTTACTCTACAATTGGTCACTCAACATTTGCATCCTTTGTACAAAACTACTAGTCCAAAACTACAAGTCTGTCAAAGGCAAGAAATTTCAAGTCTCAATGTTGTGCCTAAATAATCATTCATCCTTCGTTCTTTCCTGTCCTTTTTTTCTTTTCTGATGTAATTGTTTTCCATTTTTTTATGTTCATTTTGTATTTTTTTCCTACAAAGTCTTTTACCAGGGAGCAAAAGCAGTGAGAAGGGAAGCACGTGTAACTGTGATAGAAGCCACAAGCCTGTGATTCATTAGAATAAAAACAGTGAGCAGATGCCTAAAGTACAGTTCCAATCTAAGGTTGTTCCTTTAACTTGATACACAGTGGTGTCATTTATCTTTCTTATTCAGGAGTCCTATTTTTCCCTGATGTTTCCAGGGTAGAAGGAGAACTCATAGTTTCAATTTGAATGTTTTCAGTCCTTAACTGAAGTGCAGGAGGAGACCCATTTTTTGATGACAAGTATTATTTTCCTGTTTCAGCTTCTGATTTAAATTGGAATTATCATCTGGAAAATAGTAAAGTTTGGAAAAAACTATTTCTCTTTTCAGTTTTCAATTTTAACTTCTGCAGTATTTGAGCAATCCCACTTCTCTAGAACTTTAAAAACATTCTAGGAAAACCAAAGACATGAAACTTTGATTTCTAATAAAACATATAGTTTTAAATCTCACAATTATAGTTCTTTCTTAAGCATGACTTAGAAAACTTCATGGATGTGGGGAGACTAAGAAACCAACATTTAAATTTCCTCCTACATGAACACTGCTTAGTTTATTTTTAAATTTATTTTCCACAACTCTGAGTCAAACATCTGCTTCTGTTGCAGTAAAATGTATACAAACATATACGTGATTTCAATATCTTCTTTTTTTTAAACTTTTTCTCTTTGCAATACAAGCTATTTGATTCTCAGACAAGACTACTTATATTATGGAAGCAACAGCAGTTTTAATTTACCCTATAAAACCATAGTAAAGACCTTGATCAGAGACATAAGTGTGCAGTTCTGAGCATTTTATGCCATTCTAATATCAGTTTCAAGTTAATCTTACTATCTAGACATAAAATATGAGAAATTTTGATTTTATATCTTCGCTTTACAGATATACAACTCCCAGGTCTTTCCCAGGTGTTCTTGTTCTTATTGTTGTTACCAATACGCTAGTTATTTATATTTATAACTGAATTATTTAAATAGCAACTAGTTTGACAGCAGCAGCAGTAGAAGGAAAGCTGAATAACTGAGAAGGACTATTTATTTCCGCAGATAACTAAACCGCTGTCCTTATATGTATAACAGCAGATGCAACCTGTCACAGTTAACTGGTTGTGCTAAAGAAAAAAATAAGATAAGGAGACTGTGGATGGTGAGTGAGAAATAAGCAGAAAGAGAAGTCTATTTGACTAATTACATTCCATTCTGAAAATAGTGTCTTTTTATTTATTCTATTCTGAAAATAGTGTATTCTGTTCTATTCTCTAATTTTAATTCTCATTCACAAAATCTATTCTCAGATGTAGCAAAAGCAGATTGTTATTTTTTGCATAGTATATAGTTATTCCAAAGAACTCATGCAACTGTGTTCAGAGGCATTCTCACTCAAGCCATCAATTTGAATATTTTTAAAAATGTTGTTTTCTGCAGAAAAAAGTCATATAGAAAAATTATTCCTTTGGGAATAGTACACTATGATTCTAATAGGATAAGCTCAAATCTCATCAGGGTTTTCTGCAATAATCTGTAATGAGAAAAGCTAAGAGTCGTGGTATTTCGTTACAAGAAATAATATCGAAGCTATTCTTAAAGTATTGTGCTGCTCTGTGAAAGAAAAAAGATCATATAACCAAAGGTTTTATAAGAGGGACAACAATTCTTGTTTCATTGTTAGAAGAATTTGGGATGTGTGAGTGGGGAAGTAGTATATTAATGACTATAAAGATGACAGTATTTGGAAAAACTAAAATCGGAATTTTTCTAGTATTAATGATATACTCCTGTGCTGCTGTTCTTCCATTTCTATTGGGAAAGCAGGTTAAACTTGGAGTTGCATCCAAATAGAACATCTACTTTAGGTAATTTGTTTCATTTGAATTATGTTTTTACTTTTCTGACTTTAGGGATAGGGTTACTCACCTCCTTTTAGTACATTTTACATTGCTATAAACTGAAGGTACCATATTCACACCAAAACATATGAGCAAGCAAAAGACTTTATGAATACATGGTTAAATGTGCTTTTTCTCTCTTTTAAATCTGTTGACAATTTTCTCCACCAACAGAGACAAGATATGGTAATAAATAGAATGTTGGTTATTTGTTCTTTGGTTTTCTCTTTGCAGGGTTCATTATACTGTAACTGCAGGGGTATGAGGGGGGAAAAGCAAACAAAAAAACCTTACCAAACAAACAAAAGTCTCCAAAACATTCAAATCTTTCCTGAATGAATTTCTGCAGTTCAATTTAATGCAACTCAAAGGAGTGGACATAATCATGTACTTACCTTTGAGAAAAGGGGCCAGATATAACAATTCACGTTACATGTTTGTCCTCTTAACAACATAGGAATAGGTAGCAGGAGTACTACATTTCGTTCTTTCTTGTTCTAATGTATTTTGTTTAGAGAATCCATCACAGAGGATAACAGGAGGATAGCATACTTCTACCAGGTTTTTGTACTGAAAAGGAATGTGAGGCGAGGAATATAGATACCATCCAGCTGGACATGCCGTTTATGGTATCAATTCGTCATTCATAGAAGCAGATTAATCACTACCAGATTTGATGCTCTGGAGCACAAAATGGTTTGTTTCCTGTAGGTTTTGTCTGCAAATTTGTCAAAGATGAGATAAAACTGTCTTCCCCCCCCTTCCAATTAAATGTTGATATAAATAATATTTTGTACTAATGACCCTTAGAAAAAGAAACCCATTAAGAGACTGATGAATATTAAATTAGTGTTAAAGATGCTTCCACCTGTATGAGCTTTTAATATAGGATTAATTCCCTGGAAAAGATTCCTTAAACTGCAATTAATTAGTGCACAACTAATTGCTTTATAAAATATGAACTTCATACTTCAGAAAGGAAACAGTGTATTGTAAAATAAGAAGGCCCACAGCACAGTAAGTACTTTCAGCAAAAAGCTAATGCCAATGCTTAGTCTTCATTAACCAGTCTTAATTAATGAAGGTTTAAGATGTTATTAATAATTTTAATTTAAAACCCTGAGCAACCCTCTTGCAAGGCTGGTAATCTGCCGTAATGTCGTTTTACTGCTCTTTTGTTTACAATTTTATAACTAAAAGATAGGGCTTACCTGGTTTTGTTGGTTCTAGGAACACTCCCCGCCCCTTTGTCCAACAGGAAATCAAGTTATGTTTGCAGACCTTGGATGCTCTTTGGTTTCGGACCTGGCAGCATGGATCTGCCTCCAGAGTTGCCATCAACCTTAAAGGCCCCCAGTCTTTTTTTCACCTTCTTTCTTACAAACAGGAAATGTGGTTTGGGCTTTTGCAAGCTCACCTGCAAACTCACAGTCTCCTTCAGTGTTTGCCTCTAAGAGAGAATTAAAATATTTATGTGTGCACTTGTATTTATTATCCATCTGTCTTGCCACAGAAGAACATCTACAGGACTGTTAGTTCCACTTATGTGATACAAACTTACTTTTGTAATATTCATATGAGATCCATACTTTAAGTCTTCCCGGTTTTGATGTTGTGTTGAATTCAACAAAAGTATTTAAATGCCTCCTAAACTAAATTACAGAAATATTTTACCTAGTAGTGCTATGGGACTCTTCATCTCTTGAGGTTTCTGAACCAAGTCTGAAAATGCACTGCTGAGAGCCTACAGTTTAGCTAAGACAGGAATCACAGGCATGATGAAGAAATTATAACATCGCCAGCTCTTGAAGGTCAGGTTAGAATAACATAATATGGTCCCTCCATCCTTTAAAGTCTATTAATCTGGGCCCACGATCCAGTTCCATTCTGAAAAGAAAGGGTAAATCAGCATGTGGCTTACTGTGTGTATTTATCTTTAAAATTTAACTAAATGTCTGTGTTTTGGTAGAGAAGCCATTTTATTCTCAGAACTGGAGTAGCTTCTTCCAGAGGAAGCTTGCAGTCTGAGCACTGCCAAAGAAGCTTTCTGCTAACTTCTGAGGTTTTAGGGTTAGTGTGTTTCTTTGGTTTTTCTTCAGAGCTAACAGTTTTATGTCCAATTATGCATAACGCAAAAGTAGGAAGGGTTTCTTATGAAAAAAAGTGAATCACATGAACATGTTTGTCTTTTTGGAATATGTACATTGAAATAGTCCTCAGTGTAGCCTAAGGAACAATGTAAAACTTTGCTCTTCAAGAAAGGCTCTAATGTGAGAAAATGTCCTGTGCTGTGTATGTTTACTTGGGATGCTATTACTTTGGAATATTATTTTATTTTAACTGCCTTAGATCAATGCTTAAGAAATAATTTACTGGATTAGCATGAAGGAACAGGTTAGTCTCAATTAATACATACCCTTCTATTTGAGTCCAGGGGTGATATAGACCCTTAACAACTCAAAGCTTTGTCATAATGAAGTGAGTTGAGCATGAGGAATTAATATAAAAATACTGAAAATGGCGGGAATTCTTATAAATGGATACTGAACTGAGAGAGAAGCTGGAGAGAGTGGGACATGTACATTGTGCAAACGGAGACAGTTGCTTAGTTTCTCAACTAAGAGCACGAGGAGTAAATCCTAAATCTGCAGAGGATTTAGAATAAAATGCTTATCAGCCTGAACAAGAAGCTTACAAGGAATAAACTCCTTTGGAGATAATTAGGGGCATAATGGAAAGGTGAATGCTGAGAATGCAGCAGGGGATTTCTGGGTTTGTAGTCCTGGTGGTGTGTTAATAAATCTGCTCTCCAGGAGCAAATCATTGCTGTACCATATCAGCTTTGACTGGCTGCAGAACCAAAGTCTATTGGATTGAACGTGAGCTTGGCATGCTATTTTGGGCAGCCTGCAAGAGACTGAAAGCTCAGTCAGATAGCAAGAAAATACGCGCTGCAGGCTGTAAAATCCATTGTGAATATAAGACTTCTTACTTTCTTTTCTTGTCCTTTGTATCAGCACTACATTAAAAAACTTAGTGAGCCAGTACTCAAAGTGCTGTTATATTCAGGATAACAAAGACAAGGACAAATCATGCCTTTCTATATTTAGAAAGACAAGTCACAAGGTAATACTACTCCATCCCCATCTATTGCGTACAAAGACATTTCCTCCTCTTTTGCAAGTCCCAAAGATATGAACTGCTGGGTGAATATTCTGGGAAATTACCTCTGACTGCTTAGCTACTTACATGATCTTTGGTAAATATATGCTGCTGGTATCCCCAAGATAGGAATCTGTCTCAAGTGGACATCTGACTTGGCTGGGAATAGCTCTGGCTATTTAAGATCTTGGAGAAAGTGTGTGTGCACAGATGTATATGAAAGACAAAATCTGGGCTGAAATAGAGTCAAAGAGTACATTAGCACATTTTTGTAATGTATGCATGTAGCCAGTAAGTTGTGCTTTCCTAAGACCACAGAATGAATGTTTATGCTATCTTCCTGAAGGTGAAATAAGTTTCATGGTTGACAACAGAATCAGGCTTCAAATGCCTGCTTTCTCTATTACTACTCAAATTACAACCTTTCTTTGAAAAATGACATCATTTTCAATGCTAAGTGATGTAGTGGAAACCCCCTTGCAAAGAATGAAAAAGACACTGTTTGTAGTAAAAGTCTTGAAAAGTGGAGGTATTCCTGGAAGATGTAAATTATATTTGTTTGAAGTGGGATTATATTTTTATAATGAAACTTCAGGATTTGCTGGAGAAAGTAACTACAGCAGACATGTTTTGAGTAGAGCTTATGCTGAAGTGGAGTCTGTTCTGGTTCTAACCTCACAAATATATTGGAGAAGTAGAACTCTTAAGCTTAGCATGTGGCTGTTTACTTAGATTGCAGGTGCAGACCTGGTGCTGCTCCTTGTGCACTGAACACAAATGAGAAATGGTGCCACAGGAGAGAGATTGGTGTAAAATAGCCGCCAGAAAGAGCAAGGCCTTTCAAGGCTGCAGAGAGCTATTTTGACTCTCATGATTAATATTGTGCTTAATGATAAAATTAAAAAATTAATCAGTGTCATTTGTGCCTTGTAGAAAAAGTGCTGTCTTTATTCACTGCTTAAACCAGTGTTAAGTAAAATGTTATCTCATTAACTGCCCTTGAAATTATGGCTCCTATTACAAGGAGTATGATGGGTTTCCTGTGGGGAAACCACAGGGGTTTTTTTTCTGAATGCTATAAAACCATATTATCAGGGACTGTAAAGACAAAATTTCTTATCTTGGTAATTCTGCACTGAAAAGTTTCCATTGAAAGCTAACACTGAACATTTGTGCAGCTTTGGGTGGGGTTTTTTTGTGTTACATGCTGTGAGACAGCAGAGCAGTCCCTGCATGTCTAGCAGAGAGAAAACAGAACAGATGCCACTTCATCCAAAACCTGCACAAATAAAGTGTGGCTTTTCCATTGACTTCAATAGAATTTATTTTCTGTTCAGATAGACACTGTATCTCAAGAGAGGTGCAATCTCTAGTGATTTTTCTTTCAATAGCTACAAGAAGAATGAATTTCCCATTAAAGTGGCTATAATCCATTTACCTGGGTTTAGGATTTTTGTAATTCCCTCTTGACACGCTTATACAAAGAGTGTGGGCGCATATTTTCACCTGGTCAACCAAAGACCTGACCCTGCAATTATTTCTCAAGTGAGACACCCCAGTGAAGCCAGTAGGCTCAACTCTGTGCTTGCTAGCAAGTTTACAACTCTATAAACTTTGACCAGAGTGCAAGAAGAATTTGTGAACAAGATAGTACCTCTAAAATAATGAGCTTTTTCTTTTAAAAGTTTTTGGTGGCTGTTGGAGCCATGGTTTCTGTTTATGTGGCTCTGTTAGAGTTAGTGTAGAAAATCCAAAATCATGCGTACATCGCCTGGAGCCTTGCGGAGAATCACCCTGAACAGACCAAGTCCCTTGCTATAGCACTAAGGCTGAGCTAATAAACCTGACTCCTCAATCATCTTCATTACTAAAGTGATTAATCTGACTCCTGTTTTGCCATGTCTCCTTTAACCAGCTTAGTCTTCATAGTGGACTTTTTCATCCCTTATTTCTGGCTTAAGCGTTTGGCTGAGAGAATGTCAGAAGCTTGTCTTCTGTGTTGCAATGAGTTAAACTTGCTCCAGAATATTCTGTGATTCTGAGTCATACTTTGAGTGAAGTGTTCCCAGTTACAATTCGGAAGGAAAATAATCCTTGCTTTGAGGAAAACAAAACCTGTGCTCTACTGAACTACTGGTATCACAGCTAATGACTTGTTGTGACTCAGAATGCTGTCTCTATGAAGCCTATATTAACACAGTACGGTTCATATTGGGTCTTAACTGGACCTTGGCCTATCCTTCTGGGTACAAGAGAAATTCTGAGCTCTTTAAAACCTGATGGAGACCTAGTCTAGGCCGTCTTGTTGGGGATTCTCTTAGAAGTCAGACTGATGCATATGTGTCTGCTCCCACCTCATTTTGCCATGACAGTGCAGGTAAAAACATTTGAACTACATGGTTTTCTCTTCTAAAATCCTTTCTGCATTTTATCCCAGAGGGACACAGTTCCTCTAGCATGACACAATTGCCAGAGGGCAGTAGGAGAACCACTGTACTGGGAGTCAAGTGCAGGTCATGCATATGTCTGCCAAGTCATGCACGTCTGCCAAGGAAATATAAAAGTGTATGAGCCTGCCTCAACTTAATCTGTGATTGCATGTATTTACCAATAAGTTATCTCTGCAGTGCAGCTGAATGACTGCTTAAATCTAAGTAGTGTGCGTGTAGGCTAAGAGGAAGATTTGAAATAATGACTGTGAAATAATGACCTTGAAAAGTGGTCAGCAATGCATTGAAGTAGTGAATTTGAGCTCACTCAACTACTGAACCTTTCAGTTTAACAGTGTTGTGGTTGCATCTCTATTTAAAGAAGTATCTGGTAAGCAGATAAAAGTGCCACATTCACGGCTGTTAAAACATTGTTTTCTTACTACTTCCTGTTCAGCAGCACATTTGGGCACAGCAAAGCGTGTGCTAGTTCTCTTGTAGTTTAAACTGTCAGAGACTTGTTAGCATTTACAGACAGTAAGAGCACAGGTGCATGGAAAATGTCCCAAAAATGTTCAAAGCCTACGAAGTGACTATTCTACATTGACATGTACCTTTTGGCATTTCTCAGAGGCTAAAGTAGGTATTTTGAATGTTTAAGGTGTTTTCTTGGGGCATGACAGTACTGGATTAAAGTGTCTGTGTGAAGGAGGTGGGACATAGACTGAATTT